CATATTTATGTATGCTCTTACAAATATTAAATCTTCCATAACTTGTTGCCTTTATGTTTTGAGATATATACTAAAAGGGAAGTTTGGCTGCCTATAGATAACCTTACATCTTTTTTTATCATTATTTATAAGTTTAACTATTTTTCCATCAAAATTGATCAATTCTTAACTGCTTCTTAAACTCTTCCTTACCACTAAATACCATGCCAATTTCAAAGTAGTTCCGATAGGAATCTGTTATTGGAGTTTAAGCTAGCCATTTCCAATTTTCATCTTCATCACTACAACGTAAGCTAACATCATCACCTGAGTTCACACAATCACTATCACACTTTTTCCCTTTAAAATTTTTTGTAGGATTTTCTTCAATATGTTTAATGATTTGTTTTCCTTTAACTTGAGTTTTTGCATACTCAAACCAATCATCAACGTCATCATTATTATCAGCATTATCACTATTGACACTATCATCATCAGCATTGATACCCCATAAAAAAATTATCTTGATCGGACACAAATCTCGATGCAAAATCAAGTTGGAAACTTCTGAAATTAAAATTGGGACCATCCGAACTCCGATTTCAGCAAACTTATAGTCGAACTAAATATCTCGATAATACGAACCCGACCACACCAAATCCAACCCAATTCGAGCCCAAATGGGTCCAAATCAAAGGTTAGAAGTGCTATTGGAAGGTTCAAACCACAATTTGATTTGCCAAACGGTTTCCAAACATAACATGCTTATAGTCGAATCGAGCGGCTCGACGAGACAAATCCAACGAACCCAAGTTCACCAAATTCTGACATCACTAAAACATATTAATGTACATCAAATGGTCCATGATCAAGGGATTCAACATCGGCAGTCCATCAAACCACTCATCATTTGCCCTTGATCTCCTACCTATTTACGGGCCATGCCACTTCAAAAATCTATAAATAGCGCCCCTTTTCTTTTGAGGGGGGACCTCGAAGACAAAGGATTCAAGAGAGAGATCAGAGATCGCTCTTGCCTCCTTGCTCCTCCTCGACCACCACCTGAGTTCTGTCGGACCACCACCTGACACCCAAACTTTCATCGGACCACCACCTAAGGCCCGAACTTCCACAGGACCACCACCTGAGGCCCAGACTTCTGCCGGACCACCACCTGAAGCCCAAACTTTCGCCGGACCACCACCTAACGCCTAGACTTTTGTCGGACCACCACCTCACGCCCGAACTTCTGCTGGACAACCACCTGAGACCGGACTTCTATCAGACCACCACCTAAGGCCCGGACTTCTGCCAAACCACCACCTAAGGCACGAACTTCTGTCAGACCACCACTTAAGGCCCAGAATTCTGCCAGACCACCGCCTGATGTCCGAATTTCCGCTGGACCACCACTTGAGGCCCGGACATCTGCTGGACCACTACCTGATGCTCAGATTTTTACCAGAGTTCTACTAGAATACCACCCTACTACAATGATCTTTCTGACTTCGATCTCCAGTCAACTACGATATTTTGGACCCTTGCCTCCCACTGCCTATGGTCCTTATGACCTCCGGTCGCTTACATACTCCTGCCCTTTCGACGTACATCACCGAACAATAATCTTTCTGACCCCAGTCTCTTGCCTATTACGAGTTTTCCGACCTCTATCCTATCAACGATGGTCTTGCCGACCAAACAAACATGTATATGTTAATTATTGTAACTCCCACCATGTAATGTGCTCTATATGATGTACATTTGTGACATCAAGCCAAGGCCTTCTCCCTAAGAAGGGACTCGTTTGTAATCGACTACAAATAGTAGTGGATTCTTAATTCATTCAAACTGGGCCAAGCCCGTGGTTTTTTTCCCCTTTTCAGGGGTTTCCACGTAAAAACTCTAGTGTCTCTTATGAACGCTACACCCTCTCTCTTATGTGCTTGTGTGCTAGATCTTCGAACAATGCTAAGAGGCTAAACTTTATATTTCTCTACTATCGTGATTACTCCAGGATGCAACAAGCATCACCATCACTCATCTCTACCACTACAAAGTTATTATCACTGTTTTCTTTGTTAAGATCATTTAACTTGGTTAAACTACCAAATAATTATAAGAAATTTGAATTTCCAAGCCACTCAGTTGGTAATTCATTTCTAGGATTTCTAATATAAAAGTAATAAATGGCATTTTCATTAAATTTAAGTTGGAATTTCAAATATAATTTCATTTACAAAAAAAGCTTACCGAAACTTTGCCCATTTCTTTTGTTTCCTATCTCTTCATTACCTTGATTTATTCCTATTGTAAAATTTACAAAAGTTGTCAAATACGAAGAAAATAATACAATCAAATATGCAATATTATCACTGTTTGTTGGATCATACTCAACCAGACGAGTCTTTGCTGGAGAGAACTAGACAAGACAGGTGAGCGAATGGGGGCGAATACATGGCTAAGGTCTCCTTCATGGCTGCGGTGTGAAGATAGAATCAAAATTAAATGTAATACTCGATAAAATGAGTGAATCAAAATAAATTGATATTAAAAAGTTGCCATCATGCAAAGTGGAAAGGGAGGATTCTTTACCAAGTGAAAAATTAAATTTTCAGAGTTTTCTTGTTGCATATAAGTACTATTACAGTAAAACTTTGCAAATATAATTACATTCTATATGCTTATTTGCATATATATATATATTTTAAAGTGTGTTGTCCTCTGAAATAAATGCATTTCTTTTTTTCTGTATTTTTATTAAAATTTTGTTAAAAAAACAAAAGTTAGTTGAAATCTTTGACTTTTATTTGAAACTTTATTTTAAAGAATCTCGAGTAAATTTTAGATAAAATTGTATTAAAATGATTGAATTTGAAACTCACTTAAATTAGCTGAAATGAAAATATTTTAAAGAATCTCGTGTAAATCTTAGCCCTTGATCCAAACGGTTTGCTTCGTTTCCCCCGCCGCTAAGCTCAGGACAACTTTTTCTCGAGTTCCAAATTCCTCCATTCAGCCTTGGGGCTGAATACGATTGCTCGGATGTTTGCTTGTTCAAAGATTATTTTCTATTTCTAGGACTTATTTGGCCATTGTGAGTCCGTTTTTACCTTTCTGCCAATAGTTCCTGTTTTTTTTTCCTGCTTATCACCTTTCTTTTTGGGTTTGGTTTCTGAGCCCGATTTTACCTTTGGCTCCCAGCTCATGCTTTTTCCCTCTATATGTAACTTGTGAGATCTGTATTTGTAATTTTTTTTTAACATTTAGGCCAATTAAAGCATACTAATACCTACATCTCATACACAAAAGACCTCTTAATTGGTAGCCTAAGCTCCCAACCAACAGATCAAGATGAATTATGTTTGTAATTATTTTTTATAGTTATAAATTGGATTCAACCTTAAATTTCCCAAAAAAAAAAAACACTTTTACAAGTTCACTTTGACTTTTTTTTGGACATTTAAGCTTCAATTGGGAAATTTTTTTACTGTTTTTTAACGCAGTTTAATAAAAAATTTAAAATTTTTGTACTAAAACTCTGTTTTAAGAAACAATAAAAAAACAGTCTCAAATGAAATCTTGATTCAATTAAGACAAATTTATACGTAAGATTCGAACTCAATACCTCTTAATTAATAACCAAAGCTTCCAACCAATAAATAAAATTTAGTCGCATGATACGCAGAATATACTAGCCCAAGCGAATTTTATGTATGAAAATTTCCTTTTACAAGCTACAAAATATAATACAATGATTGATTGCTCGGACACATTATTAATATTGAAACGCAGCATTAAAGTATAGTCATTATTGTTCACAACACAGAAATTAAAAAATTTTAATTTTATTTGAGATAATTTTGTTGTTGTTTTTAAATCTGTTTTCTAATATAAAAAATTTTAATATTAAAAATTTTTGTATTGAAAAATTATTTTAAAAAATAATAAAAATTTATTATAAAGAAAACCTTCATCGAAGATACATGACAATAAATACCATTTGAGTGAGGCATCAAGATGAATTTTCATCAGACGTAATATAGCTTACACACTTCAATATGAATGTTACAGAACAATTATTAGGTCCTCCGATCGGACGTAGAGCTACGTCCGGTCGGAGCTAAAATCGCGCCAAAAAATGAGAAATACCGAGCAATACCAAACAATAACGAGGAATCCATCATGTGAAGACCCAATGCCGAGCTATACCGAGTTTTTCCTAGAAAAAACTCGGTATTTTTTTGTATAACTCGGTATTGCTCGGTATAGCTCGATATTGATCTTTACATAGCGGTATTCCTCGTTATTACCAAATAATACCTAACAATACCGAGAAAATACCGAGTTTTTTAGCGGGATTTTAATGCCGACCGAACGTTCCTCTACGTCCGGTCGGAGGACCTAATAATTGTTCGTTTATCAGAGATAATATGGCTCACAAACTTCAATTCGAGAGTTTATGGGGGCAACTGTTACACCATAAATCTAGCTTATGACCATGCAGTTGATCGAATAGGTCACAACTGAGCCCTAGTTGTAGATTTATAAGTTCACCACAGTAACTTAATCAACTCAATCAAATGGGTAAAAAGAATAATAAAAAAAAAAAGCTGAACCTACAAAGAGTTTTTTTTTTTTTAAATAAAAGTTACTTTAAACAGCAGACCCAAATGAAGTCTTATCTAAGACTTTTTTTAGGACAATTTTTTACTGCTTCCTAAACATTTTCTTGGTATAAAAAATTCTCAAATTAAATTTTTTATATTAAAAAGCTACTTTAAAAACAGTTAAAAGGCTATCACAAACGAGTAATTATTGTGTCCGGACACCAAACGCGTCCAGAGACCAAAAGCGCCACGTCACTCGGGCGCTCGGTATCGTGCTCGATACAGCACTCGATATCACTCGGTATGTGTCCGAATTTTCGGTAATTTGTCCGGACATAATAAATTTTCGTCACAAACAAAACCTAAATAACACATTGACTGGACATAAATATTTTCTTCTGTTTTTGAAAAACATTTTCAAAACCCTTTCAAAATTTTTTCTCTTAGTCTTCATGAATAATTCAGTTTGTACCTAATAAAAATCTAATAAATAGAAACTATTTATGAACTACAAAGGCTCATAACCTGTACTGAACTACTCATCAGATTTGTTTTTTAACAATCCACCATGGAGGCCCAGCCTCATAAGAACAGTTCCCATCATTCCATGAGATCTGAGATGCTTGCAGCCCAATTGCAGAATTGGGTTCCTTGCCATGGCATGAAATCCACTCTACCGCTGCAGCCAATTTGTCACCATCGCTTGAGCACTCCTTTCTCTGCTTGTCAAATGGATTAATGAGAGGATTAGAATTTGCAGCCAACGCAGCAGGCATGTACATCAAGTCCCCAATTATCGGTGCGCCGATAGCGGCTAACTGGGCTCTCACCTGCATTGAAGGCCGCAATGGAGCTCAAACCATTTGTGTTCTTAAACCTATTGCGAAGTTCGAGTTGGCGAAACAGAAGTAAAGGAACTACCTGATGTGTTTTCCCTGTTAACAGGTTGATCTTACATTCATAGGCAGTCTTCTTTGAAGGCCATTCACAGTCTTCAATTTTGTGTGTTTTCACAACATCAGTATTTGGCCAGGGAACCTCCTTGCATTCCAAGACCTCCAGCTGACACAGATGCCAACCTTCAATAAATTCTGCATTCTCCTCGAAGTTTTCAAATATTAATAATGTGGACGATGAACCATAAAAACTACTAGGTGGTCAACTTTTAAGACTTGCTTCTTTTCTTGTTTCTTGTAACAGAAGTAAAGAACTTAGCTCTGGATTTTAACTTACATTCATTCAATTGTGCTACGCAATACACCTATGTTTGTTTCTTGCCTTAATGACGACTGGGTGCTTTCATTATCAGTGGTCATCACCAACAACAACAATAACAACATCAAGTTTTTGTCCCACTACGAGGGGTCGGCTACATAAATCTGTTTTCTCCATTGTGTCCTATTAAAAATCAAATTCTCGTTTAAATTTAATAAAGAAAGATCATTTTTAATATTTTCTAACTAAGCCTTTTTAGGTCTACCCCTACCTTTTTTAACATAAGTCAAATCTAATACCTTTATTTTCGTAACCGGGCCATCGGAAGGCCGTCATTTTATGTGACCAAACCATCTAAGACGACTCTTTCTAATCTTATCTTCCAGTGGAGCTACTCCAACTTTTTACGTATATGCTCATTTCGTATCCTATAAGTAGTCACCGGAAAAAAAAAAAAATAACACAAAATTTTATAGCTTCTTCATTACAAAGGGTCCACCACTCTGGTATTTGGAAGAAAAAATTAGAAATAAATACGTTAACATGAGCAATTTGATATGTGTAACAAGAAGGAGCGGCAGTTATTGGTGCCTATTTAAAATCTAATCATTTGTAGTAGATATCATAATATTGTAGTATAAAAACTGAACTATTACCTCGTGAAACAAGCCTGGGAGCAAGGTTCACTGGCCGCATGTAATGAGATATTATTCCAGTTGGTACGGGTTCAGCAGTAAGGGCAAGATAAAGCTTTTTCACCTGTTTTTCCTGAGTTCAAGATGAAAACTTCGTGAAAGAAATAATTGGGTAAAAGAATGGTTTTTTAGTCATATAGAAGATTGAAGAAAGTACATCATATGGTACAATAAACAACAATGCCGAAAAAATGAAATAAAATGAAACATCAATGATAATGAGCATACCCTAATCATCCCATGGAAAACAGAACAGAATTCCTTTGTTTTTGCCAGTACAAGGCTGCAATAAGAACGCCTCAAATGATTTTTAATTAATTTATGAGTTAAAGATAATTATATAAGAAGAAAAAACTAAAACCCACCAGCCTTCCGTGCAGTTATCTATCTGATGAGTGGTCTTCAAAGGAGTATCTAGTCCTAGAACACGAGAAACAAATGTTGCACAAGTTTCTTCTATGTTATCAGATGATCCTCCTACCTTCAAATTTCAAGAACAGAACAAAATAAAGATTGGGAAAGAATGAACAAAAGGTTATAAAATCTATATGAACACATATGTACATTAATTGCAAATTAGGAAACTAGGGATTGTAGAAATGTACAATTAACAGAATTACATACCGAAGTTGCGGCTGGTTTGTTAAGAACCACATAGGAATCTGTTACAGCTATGATTCTAGACTTCCAATCAATTTCATAGCACCTGACTACAACACAAACAAATAAAAAAACAAAAAACTTATATGTACACGATGGAAACTCCTTTTCTTTCTCTCTCTTTATTTTTTTGCCCTCCTTTAAGTCCACATGATATGATATGTTATAGGATAAGATACGTTCAAACCCAAGGCCTTAGCAACAACTTCCAACGCCCTTACAGACCGGCCTAGTTGGCCCGCCAATAATTGAATCTTCATGTGTGAGTCCAGAAAAAATAAGGGTGAAGTATGGACAAAAACAAAGGAATATTGGCAGAACAAGCTTTTCAGGATATTTCATGCTTCCATAGTTTACCTTGGGAATCTTTTTGGGTGCACATGAACACGAAGGTAAGTTCCGGCTTCAACAAACGCATTTGCATCTGCAATTCTATATGTTTTCTGGGCTTCTCTTACAGTTTTCCCTTTGAGAGAAGACCTCCTTTGCAGAACTGATGCTTCCGTGACTTCCCTGTAGATCTTAACTTGCTCAGGAGTAGCGGTTGGAGGAGGTTTTGGGCAAACCAAAGCATAGTGGATGGCCCCAAATTGAATTAGATCTGCAACATACCTTCATGCATAAAAATATTAGATACGGAAACTTCAATGTGCACTTAAACAGACACGGGATATACCGGATGAAAATAAAAATGCAAGAAATCAGTTGCTTAAGTCCTCAGCAAGTAATTAATATTGTGTACGCTGCCTTCCAATGAGATTGTTCAGCTGAACAATCAACAATATCCACCATAAATTAGTGCAAAAATCACTTCAAGATTGTTCAGCAGAACAATCAACAATAAGATATCCGCCATACCTTAGTGCATAAAATATTACAAATAGCATCTTCTATATGCATTTACACGAACTCAACATTCACAAATGTTAAGAAGATGAAGTCCGGAAAATGAGATTCAACTTTTGCATGCAACTTGAATTCTCATCTTATTCCAGTACGCAATATATGTTTCATTCTACGCACTTAAATTTTAATAGATGTTTTATAGTCTATACAATCACCATAAGGATACAAACAGCTATGTCTCTATAATGTCATCATGCATATTTGTTAAAAATAAAGAGACAAGCAAAGAGACATAAAAGATCAGTACTTGATTGTATCTCATGCTGATGAAGGAGCCAAAATAAACTATTTATAGGCAGGCAAGAGAAACCTAGGGGGTTAGTGAAGGCGCTATGAAAAAAAGGAAAAACTAATTACAAAACATTGCATAGGATTAATCTACTCTTAATGAAAATAAATTGATGTGATACAATCAAGAATTGCACGTGAAGTTTATAAAGAGTCACAAAGTATACTAGTTTAAGATTAAGATTTCATAAGGTGGTGAGGTTCAAGAGTTTTCCATTGTCAAAGTTATTATGATAATCAATTACAAACTTGATGTTTAGACACAATTGGCGATAGATCTTGAAATTATCACAATAAAATAAATGCGGAGAAAAATAGAATCCCACGGCTAATGTCTAGAAATTTCACAATGAGTTACCTTGCTCACTCACACTCAAGTAGGGCTTAGCGGGAGAAGGTCTTTAGCAAACCCAACAATGCCACGAGGAAGGTAGCAACCCCAACGGCCTTGAACCACGGAAAGGTTGACGGTGGCGAGGATGGCGGGAATGATCGACTGTTGATGCTCCAATCATAGTTTGGAAGTTGGCGGTCGATGACGCTCGCAAGAGTAGGAACCACTCGAATCAAATAATCTCCAACGGTGGCGTCGTCTTCAAATCCCACGTCGAAGAACGAGGATCGTAGGATATTGAGGTTTCCGTCGGCGTTGAATACAAGTTCTCACTCAAATTCCGGATCCGCCATGCATGCTTGACGTAGGAGAATCTTTCAACGAGATGAGAGGAAAAACGTGGTGTTGAGAGAGAGAGCACTTGTAGTTTGAGAAGAAGGAAGGGGAAAGAGAGAGGGGTGTCGGGATTCCAAGGGGAAGTGGGCGGCGGGTTCAAGGAGGAGTGGGATAGAGTTTGGAATCCAATCATAATAAGTCTCTCAATAAATCTGAAATAAATTTCAGATTTAATTTTGTTTGGAGAGACTCAAATTAAGATTTGAATTTGAATTCAAATTGGGTTGAGGCTAGAATTGGAAACAACAAGGGGAGAGCCCATTAATGGGGCCGGCGGTATGGGAGAGAGGGAAGAGGGAGTTATTTTAAAAACCTGAAATTAATTTCAGGTTTTGAGGGAATTAGTAGGGAATCTCTCTAGTACCCGCCGACCCCCCTCTTGATGGGCCCCATTGAATGCCCATTAATTCCCCGGAAATGGGGAAGGGGGGGGAGGGCCGGCGGTGGGGTGGTGGGAGAGGTGGTGGAGGAGGGGTGACAGGCGGCCAAAGGGACGGCCGGCGGGTTGGCTTCCTTTGGTGCAGGCGGGATGAAATGGGGTTCGGTTGGGGCTAACGAAAAGAGGATTTAGGTAATTGAAGATGAGGGGAAAACACAAATAAGAAGATAGAACAACCTTAACCACGAGCCGCGGACTCTTCCAACGACTGGTGGGCCTTGCGAATGCTCCCTTCGAGCTCTCTCCCTTCTCTAGCTCTCATGCAAGAAGAAGAAGAAATAAAACCAAATTTTCATTCAAAATATCATTAACCTTTTACAAAGCATGAGACCACTATATATAGGTCTTAAACATAAAGAAATGAAAAGTACTCAAATGCCCTCTGGGCCACAATAAGACAACGCTCCCCATAGGGGTAAACTAGGAAATGGAAATGCAAACTAAATAAAACATAAAATACATCAAAAGTAAAGACTCTGAATCGTAGTCGTCGATCTGCGCTGTCTCCGGCGATACACATGCTTGAACCTCTGATCGATGTCCACATCATAAATGATAAGCAAAATAGAGTAAAACACGGAAAAAATAAGTCCGCATAAGAGAGAATTCAGGCAACAACTTCAGCCCCAAATTTAGGAGAAAATTGCCCCACATATTGCTAAAAGAGTTAGATTTGACTGCTAAAACCTTGAGCCTAATTTATGGAATTGATTGAAGATTGAAGATTGATTGAAGCAGATTTTCTTTGTTGAATAATCCTTAATTCCTATATCATCAATCAATTTTTCATCCAGAAAAGAAGTGGTCATTAACTGTCCATAATTCCACTCCCCCTCAGGTTAGAACTTAGAAATATATATATTGATCATTCCTACCTTAGTGACTGATCTATTGAAATAAATTTAGTGCTTTAGTGAGAATGTCTACAACCAGCGATTTTGTTCAATTTTCTCCTTTATGAAGCATCTATCAATCTTGACATGCTTAATATTGTCGTGATGGACAAGATCGTTAGCAATGGTAATTGTAACTTGGTTATTACATATCATTATCAATGATTTTTTAATGTGGATATTTACGTTTTCTAAAAATCTATTGATGCATACTCCTTCACAAACTTCATTAATCATGGCCCTAAATTTAACTTCAACGTTATAGCAATAATTGCCACCTTTGCAATTTATGATTAGCTATAGATCCAGCCTAGTTAGCATGAGTGAAGATATCAATACTGCTATCTATTCATTTTGTGAAGAAAAAAACTTTTCCTAAATACCTTTTTAGATACCTCAATATCCTGTAAATTGCATTAAGATGTTCCTAAATGAGAGCTCATAAATTAACTATTCTCAATATAGTTTGGTGTGATTTACTAACAATTCTGGATTCAATTAAATTCTCTGCTTAACTATGATTCTCTATATTCATTGGGAACTTCACAATGAAAAGGGAATGAAATAGACACCAAAAATTAAAACAAAGTATTGATGACATTTTGTGGAATTCTTGCGTTAGTGTCATCAGTTAAGATGTTAGAGAAAAAAGTTTTTAACACAAAACAGTTTCATGCCATCTTATGGAAAATAGTTGGCTGGGCTAGGTTACTAACTATGTCTGAATACCCTGCAAAATAACATGGTTGTCCTACGTTACTGAATACTCTGAAAAATAACAGTAAACATTTAATTACATAGGAAACAGTTAAAAAGAGTAAAATCTCCCAAATTGGCACGAATTTCTTTTCATTAATATCCAAATTTGAATGGTCTTCTTCTTTGCTCATTCCACAACAATGAACAAAGAGAGATCATATCTCAACGCTTAATCTTCAACTTTGAAGCATTTCCGCTTTCTGGCAAAAGGACCTTAAATACAGAAAAGAAAAGGATAGACATCTTTCTTTGGTGGGGTGTGTCAGTATGCGGGTGTTGGGCAGTAGTGTGGAGGGAGCATTCCATAACCAATAGAAGAAAGAGGAGAAAATTACACCAATATATTGAAACCCAAATTTAGCAACATTTTAAAAAAAGAAGAATCTTATATGCTTCAATTTTTCAAAAGAGTATCCTCATCTGTTTGTAAGCTGATTCAGAAATGAGTAGTAGACATGGCTTCTGTTGTTACTTATAGCATGAAATTAGAAATGTAAATAGTCATTGATTTGAAAAATACAGCAATTTACAAATATAAGACATATACATGCATGCTTACTTAGAAGGGAGACGCAAAGCTTTGCTGATATAATCAAGAACATTTCCATCTTCAGAAACTACAAGGTGCTCAATTCTAGGTACCATATTGTGTGAGGGACATGGAAGTAAACGACTGTATTCTGTATGCCTGTGCAATGAAATAATAAAATGGATGATCTCATCGACATGGAGGGTAATAGATTAATAATGACAAAATAAACTGCATAAAACCTTCCTCCCAACAAATTTTGCAATGCATACTTTTCTAATATGCAAAGAAATATTTGCGATCTACAAGTATTCATACAATCTCAATAAAAGAAATATATGAGTACCACATAAAATTGTAATGAGCAGAAGACGAAAACAGTAGCCAAACACAAAATCATAAGAATCCAAAACATAACCGCTCAATCTGTTTAGTTTCTATCTAGTTTGCAGTCCTTTTTAAATGGCATTATGTATATCAAATGATATACCAGGTAGATTCATTTCGCAGTCAAAATTACTGATCTTGTGAGATCACCACCATTTTAAGGAATAATATTATTGAACTTTGATTCTTCTTGAACCTGAAATTGTTTTTTTTTTTATTATTCTTCTTAAAACATGCCTAGTCACGAATATATTTTATCTTTGAAATTGAGAATTTCTTTAAACCAACTAATTCTTATAGTGAAACCTGAAAGTAAACGGCTGTTCATGGAAGCCTCAACATTTATTAAATATCATTTTTAAAAAAATATATACAACAAATCATCTCTTTTTTACTTTTATATATAAATACCCTTTATTTACTAAGAAGTGCTAAAGAATACGGAGAACATCCGAATCCAATGCTGAAATTCATGTGGAGAACATGAGTGAAGCAGAAAAAAATAATGTCTTTGAAATCCAGTTGTGAATTCAGCTTATCTACTCTGCTACTTTATTAAGCATTTCGCTTATTTAATATCTTCATCACCCAATTCTCATAAGATCATGCAATAATACCAAGATTAATTGTGTGATAAAAATTTTAAATGGAATATAAGAATCAGCTAAAATAAACGTCAAGAAAATCTCCTAAAATATCAATGACTACATGATTTCAAAAAAAGAAGCAAGAAACCCTAGAAGTTCTGATATGAACCTACACGGTACCTAAATCTAGCGCAACCAAATCCGAGCACGACCTCCTTGCGCATGCCATCCATTGATGTGGCTCACGGAATACTAGTAGGAAAGGGAACAGTGCTTGAGTGTTAATGGGTAAATAAGCAGTGCATTTAATTTCTTATACTTTGTTTACAAAGATATTTGGACACTAATGATTTGGAGGGTGATGAGCCATTTGACATAAGATAGAGCTAGTGTGTTTTGTAATCATATGAAGGGTAGGACCACAAATTTTCTATCAACATATGAAAAAAATATAATGCAAAGCTTCTTTCTTTCTGAGTTCTCTTCTTCCTTGTTTCCTCAATTGTTTTATTCTTTTCACCAATTTTTCTTGAATTTGCTGGCACATCCCTCAATTTATTGTTTATCTACTATCATTTTATGCTCTTGTTGTACCTTTTGTTGGGCGCTATACTAATTTCCCCTATCACGCCATCTACTCCGAACATTAGTTCTCCTTCCCTCAACTCCCAAACTTTCCTCCCCATATCCATGCCTTCTCTCTAGTTTTATGACTGATGATACTTTTTCAACAATAAATGCGAATGATAGACTTACTATCACTAAGGAGCAACTAGAAGTCTATCAGTGAGGACCAACTAGATGCCATCAATGGCATGCTTCACGATATCTAGATTCACCTCATGTTGTTGGAGGTCAAGCAAAAACAATACTTGACATGTTATTGAGCAGCCTCATGCTCCAATACCCATAGAATCCACCATAAAGTATCTTATGGTGACAACCTATTTAAAAAAATACATATATATACCATAAAATAGAGAATTTAAGTTAACAAAATCAATATTATTAATTTTAATTGTCCAAATAAATAAATTAGAGATGACTCGGAGAACTATAGACCTATAACTTCAAACATCAATAAAATTGATAATTAATTACAATTTCGAATAATCACATGAATTTTATAATTAAATTAGTAAATGTGAAATTATCAGGTGTTTTAAGCAGTAGATTTTAATGTTATAAGTAGTATGAATTGAGAGTGATTAAATGCACATATCAGATATAATCAATTGAAATCAATTGGGAGAAGCACTAGAAAATGAATTTTGGGGAGTAGTTCAATTTGTTTTAAAAAAAAGTTCAGTGCATAATTATATATATTTTTTCTAACTATTTTACTTATTAAAATTGTAAGTACAGATCAAGACTAATTTGAAAATAATTAATTTGTGTCTCCACTAAGAAAATTTTTTGGCTCCGTCCCTGATCCTACCCTTCCCATGATTACAAAACATCACCAACTCTTATATTACGCCAAATAGCAGCATTCTGCGGATGGCTAATTACCATCCCAATCATGTGTGGACACTTGTATCTATGCTGACTAACTATAAATGCACAGCTTCTTTGTTCCCCAAAGAAGTTGGCAAGTTGCTGCAGGAGCTTGCTAGGGGAGAAACTGATGGAAAGAAACTCATGGTAGCAGCTCGATGGAGAAGGCATTGACATGACAAGTGACTAGGAAGTCATGGCGGGAGCTCGCTGGTAAAGGCATCGACAAGGACAACAGACGTTGACGAGGAAATTGTGGCTATAGGATTTACCGGCACATCCGTTGAAGTGCCTTTTGTCTAATATCAAGTACTCGTTCTATGAAGAAGAAATCAATCATAAAACAGCATGCAAAAAATTCATCGATGTTGAAAATGAAACACATAGTTTTATAAATAAACTAATAAAAAAGCAGCACGGAGCAAATCTAGTACGGACTGGAACCCAGGAGGCTAGAACGACTAAAAGCCTGTGTAAAGAAAGCAGTTAGAAATCTATGCTAGTACCCATCAGCCGAAGCTCTTCTTTCTGTGGGAATGACATTAGCTTCCGAGGCACGGGGAAGAACGATCTTTGCCTTTGGAGCCCACCACTGGTCCTTCTTCCTGCTGCGGCGGCGGCAGTTTCGGAGAGCGGAAGATGTGGGGGCCGATAGGGTTCGCCGGCCCGCTGCCCAAAACGACCGAGAAACTAATGCAGACGAGATGGAGGCGGCGACGCAGGAAGCGAGCATTACTCAACTTTTTTACTCGATTGGTCGCGGTGTTCGGATTGTCCAACTTGAGGCGGATGATACTGGCGAGTGGCGACGACGAAGGCAGTGCCGATATTTTTATGATGTGAAATTTACATACAAACCACTTTATTTTATTTTATGTTATTTACATATCTAATATCTAAAATATTAATATTATATATCTATCACCCATATACAACTTTAATATCAAATATATCACTCCTATAATTCATTTATATCATTCATACAATCCTATAAATTTTAATATTTCATTTCATGCACCCAAATTTATTCTATGGGTGGTAGTCATATAATATTAATGTTTTTGATATTAGATATGTAAATAGCATAAAATAAAATGGTATTTATATAAAACCCCCATCTTTCTTCCTCAGAATGGTGTTCTTGTTACTTCCTTTAATATCTTTCATAATGCTTATTATGATAATTTTAATAAAGTGGATTGATTTAAATTTATTTGACGTAAAAGATATATTTTGATATACTTGCTATGTTTGGATGACTATGATGAAAGAGTTAAAAAAGACTGATATTCTTGTTAAGATAAATATTAATCTCTCTCATCTGTATCCTTTGTTTGAAGGGAGATGAAAGTCATAATCATCTTTTCTTTGAATATGATTACTCTTTTAGTATTATTTCTAATTTTTTTGCCTAATAGTAATTTCTTTTATTTAGACCTAATCTTGAGCAATTATTAGATCTTATTTATTTTCTTCAGTATGATTCTAATGTTAAGAATCTTTTTTTTTTATTGTTTGTTGTTCTATTTACATTATTTGGAGAGAGAGAAATTCTAAAAAGTTTGAGAATAAATTTTCTAATTCTGATGCTTTATGTAGTTCATTGATTCAAATATGTTTGCTAAGATTTTCGATTGGAAATCTTTTTCTTCCTTAAAGGGTTATTTATCTGGTTAAGAGCTAATTGGTTTCTCTATAGTGAATTTTTATAATCGTGCTCTTTACCCTTGATGACAAGAAATTTATTTATGAATAATCTCTTAGCTCTTTCTTACAGGTTTGTTGTCTTTTCCTTCTTATGTGATTCATTTTTATCTTCTTAATTGTTTCTTTTTTGGTTTTTTAGGTATGTTTGTTGTTCCTATGACATTTTATTGCTGGTTGCTAGATATTTGTTGTTGGTTGATGTCTGCTGTTAGAGCTCTTTTTGGGTTCGCTGTTGGTGCCATTTTTTTTTTCGGATGGAAGGCTGGTTACTGGAGGGTGGCCTGCTTCTGTTGGGTGGCTCTGTTGCTACTTTTTGTGATCTTTGTGGATGGCCTGTTTCTACAGGGTAGCTCATTCGGTTGCTGGGCTTTATTGTTGGTTTGGAGAACTATGACAGCTTCTTTTTCTATTGTTCTGGTTGTTATTTTTTCGATGTGGTTTGGAGGCTTGTTGGTGGGTATGTTCTTCTGTTAGTTGTTGAGTTCCTTTTTGAACTCTTTTTTTTTTATTCGCTAAGTGTTTGGTACTTAGTTTTCTTCTTTTTGGTTTTTTTTTTTTTTAAACAGAACTTTTATTAAAAAAAAGAAAGAGGTTACAAGAGGCTGAAAACAAAGTAAAAGCAATAAAAGGAAATACAATAAAATAGAAAAATTAGGCTCAGTAATTGGCCAAGGCCTCCAGCTCCCCCGAAGCCACGCACCGACCCTCCAATTTGGTGATGAACGTCGCAATAAAACCATAACAGCCAACTAGCAAAGGCAGCAAAATATAAACACCAAAGGTTGACAGGAGGCATGAGAACAAGGAAGCTAGCCCCGGCCACATCATCGCCTGTCACAACCATAACCAACAAAAAGCTCGAACGAATCAGCTTGAAATAAACCATCCACAGAGCAAAACTATGAGCCAAATAAACTAACGACCCCGTCTTCCCCTCCCACGGGGTCTGCCACGAGAACCGGCAAAAACCGGACAGTCGCAAACCATTTTAAAATCATGTCCAGGATCCGAACCTCCACAATGATCCGAAGTGGAATCAGACTCAGCTTCCGACGAACAGTGAAGCCAATCGAGATGAAACCGCACATCTATCACAAAACTATCACTCACATGATAAACCATAGCATTTGTTTCTATTAATTTCATAGGCAGATCCACAAAAGAGTTAGGAATAACCAATCCAGCACCTGAATTAATCTCACTTCTAACAAACTCACCACCCAGAACAGCATCAGAAGACCGCACCTTAACATCAGGTAAGGAAGAAACAAAAGAGTTCAAAACACTGTGCATTACATCAGAGACAGGAGCCCCAACCCCCACATCGACAGAAGCAGGGACACGATTAGAGGGGGAGCCATCACTAACCAAATTAAAATCAACCGTCCAATTAACATTCGCAGAAGTAGGTATGACTACAACATAATCGAATCCATTCTCCACACCAACATTTTCTACAGAACAAACAGGTAAATCGGATAGAGCCCCAGTAACCGAAATACCACAGGCTAAACTAGAGCCCAAAATAACATTTTTAACCCCTAAATTATTATCAGCACCCCTAAGAACAGGATCAACATTACCCGAATTAAAAGCAAAACCATACTCCACCATACCAATTGGGGAAACAACACACCCAGCGACCTGGCCAGCGTCAACACAGATCGGAATAGAAGAGGGATCGATTAAAGCTAAAGGTGCAGAGCTGACAACGGGGTCAGAAGCAGGTGTCACCAGCGATGGAGCCGATTCCACAGCCGGTCGTAAATTAGGAAATAATTTAATACAATCCGACATTTTATGACCCCACAGCTTTACAATGCATACAAAAATTAGGTATTCCTTCAAAAACAACTCTCTGAATATACCCCAGATTATCCGGACCCAGCCAAACAGAATCCGGGAAAGATTTGGAGATGTCAATTTCTACAAGAATACGAGCGACTGAAGGACGCGAACCAACGGCCGTGGCATTATCGGTGTGAATCGGGTGACCAAAAAGACAACCCAAACCAAAAAGAATTCTAGGAGAGAACAGGTGAGGACGAAGCCCCGGAAAAGAAATCCACACTGGGACAATCAGCGACTCCTCCGACAGGTCAAGTAGAGGCGACCACTTGATCACTTTCATGAAACAACCAAAAACAAAATAGGATCGATGCGCAAAAACCCTCCCATAGTCAAGATCATTAGAAAGCTTGATCAGGACATTCGACTGATCCAACAAAGTAACAGAGAAATCCCCCGATAATTTAAGATTGAAAAAGAACCTATGAATCGAATCCAAAGCTGACCGTTTAAGCAGAAACTTCCCCACTAAAGCAAACTCAAAAGGTTTCGCAAGATGCAAAAACTCATCCTCCGAAAACCACAAAGCTGGCAAACCCTGAATCGTAGACACACGAAAATCCGGAAAAACCTTAGATGCATCAGAACCAGACAACACATCTTTGAAGGATTTGGAATGCTTACCCTCAAGAAAGCCAGGGTCTAACCTTACTCGCCATAAGAAAAGGGGAGCGAGAGAGAGACGGCGCCGAAGAGGAAGGCGACTAGGGAAAAAGCCCTAACCGAGCGGAAAAAAACCCTAGCAGATGAAGGCTGCACATAACTTAATAGCTTTTCCAAAAAAGGGAAGGGAAGAAATACTTTGTGTATGAGAGAAATCTTCTTCTTTTTGGCTATCTTTAGATGTTTAAGGTGGATTTCCTTCCACTTTTTTTTTTCTTTTATTTGGAAGTTTTTTCGTTTTTTTTTTCTTACAAAATTTTGTACTCTATTGTAACTTTTTATTTTATTTTTTGTAATAAAATTGGGCATGTTTGCTCCTATTTTTCCCAAATGTATATTTATGAAAGATGAGGGTAGAAATGAATCTAATCAATAATGATAAAATAGATGACATATAAATAATACTTGAGAAGCATATTAATTATTTTTAAAAATATTTTCTGTTGGATAATTTTATATTTGGTGTTGTATATTTATAAATATAAATTAAGTATTATATATTAATTGCTATGATTATTTAAGAATTAAATTATTATTTGAATTATGTGGTATCTCAATTAAATTTATATGAAGTTAAATATTGTGTAGATGTCAAGTATTTATTTTATTTTAATGATGGGTTGAAATAAAATAAATATATTTAAAGTATAAAGTATTGTGGTCCCCAGTTTAAGCGGCTATGTTCTCATATCACTCATTTCCCATCTTAAGTGAAAAGAAATGATCTCTCGCTCTCTTGGAGAATTTCGTTTCAAGCGTGGAAGACCGAAAACCTTGATTATGCATTTCAATAGATTTATGCATGCTTCTAATTATTTTCTAGATGATTTGACATGTAATTTGGGTTAAAAAAAAAATTTCATCTCCAATGTATCCTTATAAGTGGTATCCGAGCCTAATTATTAGAGGTGTCAAAATGGGTCAGGTTCGGGTCCAACCCGAATTATCTCGGGCCCAAACGAGTTGACCCTATCCCAACATGATTTTGCAAACGGGTCAGGAATGTCAAGCCATACCCGACCCGCCGGGTTGCCCGGTTGACCCGACCCGACCCGACCTGCTAAACCCGGATATGGGCATTGCGCAAGCATGTTTCGAGTGTGCGAGTCGGCAACTGCGGGCACTAAAAGTGAGCATATGAATTTTCTTCACTGTTATTATTTTCATTTTCTTCCATGAACAATGGATTCACTATTTCTTTTCCAATCAATTAAATTTCGTATGAGAATACGAAAAGATGAAATGGTTGATAAAATTTCGGTTACAGTGAACAATTGCATATTACTGCAATGTTAATGGGCTTAAAATAGTGAGTTGCTTCTATTACTTTAATGTTTTTAATAGCCTTAGCAATGCTCATAATTATTCAAACATATGAATTAACTTTAGATTTAATCTATGATGTTATTAACATTATCTGTTTTATGAATTAGGTAAACTAATAGAGAAATATTGATAAATAAATGAATTAATTTATTTGCTCAATATATTTATCAATTAAAAACTTCTCATTTGAAATAATTATTTATTATTTTAAAATTAAGTTAAATTAAAAAAATATATTACCTCAAAGTGACATCTATTGAATAAATTTATTTAATTTAAAATTAATTAAATAATGCTAATAATTTATTTAAGTCTATGCAGAAATAATCAGCTCAAATGAAGATTATTTTTTTTACTAGACAATATAGATGTAGTAATACATATGTGATAATTTTAAAATTATTCATGTATCTAATAAGTCGGTCCAAAGAAAGATTTATTATTAGTGGCTGTTTGATTGCCTAAAATGGACTAAAATGGAATAAGTTGCTTGAATGAGTATAAATGAAATGCATAATATTTATTTGATTTAAAGCAAAATGAATGCGATTTAAAATAAAAAAAAGATAGTAATCAATTGCCTACATTGGCAGCAGAGAAGTTGGTGGTCGGGGGAAACCAATGCTGGCGCCGGTGGTCAACGATTGACGAATGGCTGCGGCGAGCAGATCAATTTCTGGTGTATTTGAAACTCATCCTAAACAAGAGGAATTTCAAATACACGAAAAATGAGCGTGATGGTGAATTCTAAATGCATCAAAATTTTACATTACATATTTATTTTGCTTCAAAATAAATATCAACATTTTCGCCCCTTAATGCTATCTTCTTCAGCTGTCAGTAGTAAATCATGTTGTAGGTCTTGAGCTAATTGTTCATCTGACAACCCATAATTCAAGTGGCATGGAAAGTTGAAATATATACACAATATGAAGGCAAATTATTACATCCGGTCACCGGACGCAAAGATAAGTCCGGATATTAATAAAATATTATTCTAAATTAAACGCAGTCAAACTCACAGTCAAAAGCGCAATCAAAAGCGCAGGTGACGTGGCATGTTTTTATTGGATGTCCGAACCAATTCTACTCGTCCGGTGACAGGATGTAATAATTTGCCCAATATGAAAGCCCCCCAAAACTCTTAATACTTGCCGCCACACAATTGGCCAAAAAATAAAAAGCAACGAAGTCCACATTTCCAAACACAATGGAAGCTTTGATAAAAACTGGAGCAGAACGATGACATATTCTCTCACAAACATCATTTGGCTAATAAATTGTGAGTCCTGAGGATCTCAAACAAAATATGCTACAGAAATGCTGATAATAATTGAAACGAATCAACAAGGAATTCCAATCATCCAAAGTCATCATCACAGAACAGAAAATTCAAGAAAAGGAGAGCAAAGGCTTGAGTAAATAAAACCAACGTGAATGGCCGCAGGCGCATGGTCTCGATGCCATTCAGCCAGCTGAGTTCTCGTGAAGCATAACATACTCCCGGCTGCAATAAGAAAAATGAAATAGTAATAAGAAGATATATTGTTTTTCAGATTGAATATGCAATCCTAACAGTTCAGATGGCTCAAAATATTTGGGGAATAAATTCTTAGAAGAAATACGTTTTATAACAACAAGAAACGAGCAACCATCTAGCTTTTACATGAAACCATTACAAGACAAATTATAGCTAAAACTGACAAATAGATCATGCATGGCAATATGAGCCTAGAGAAAGAAGTGTACATGCACTCATCACATCAATCTGTTTCTACTGAAGTAATATTCTCAAGAAAGATATTAGTTCACTGGTGGGTGCTTAACTCAGAGACTTGCAATGAAATATATATTTTTATTTTCCAATCCTCCAAGAAAAAATATATTATATAGTCAATTAATTTCACTCAAACTAATTCTACAAAAAGAATATAGCATAATCTATATCAAGTTGCATTTGTTAGATGATGACACAAAAAGCGGTGATGAAGAACGCTAAAAATGATGGCAATAAAAACATGAACTGATGTGGCACATGAATCCAATTTAAGTATTATGATTAGATCAAAAATTAAACTAAACAAAACCAGTTCCTGAAAATGAACTTTATTCATTTATTATATTAGTTTGATTTAATCATCAGGAATTATCCTATTGGACAATTTCGAGTTTAACTTTCAACCAGTTATTAGGATTAGATTTCACAACAACAACAACAACAACAACTTGAGCCTTTCTCCCACTGTGTGGGCTCGGCTACATGAATCCTTCTTCGCCATTGTGTCCGATTAAAAGTCAAATTCTCATTTAAATCTAATAAAGAGAGATTATTTCTAATATTTTCTAATCAAGTCATTTTAGGTCTACCTCTACCTTTCTTAACATAATTCAAACATCAACTTTCCTAACCGGGTCATCGGAAGGCCTACGTTTAATGTGACCAAACCATCTAAGGCGACTCTCTCTAATCTTGTCTTCCACTGGAGCTACTCAAACCTTTTCAAGTATATGCTCATTTCGTATCCTATCTCTAAGGGTCAAGCCACTCATCCATCCAAGCATCCTCATCTCTGCATCAGTTAACTTAGTATTATGTTTCTCTTTTAATGGCCAACATTTTGCACCATAAAGCATTGCAGATCTCACCACCATCTTATAAATTTTCCCTTAAGTTTGAGGGGGACTTTTCTATCACACAATAAGTCGATGCATTCCTCCACTTCAATCATCCAACTTGAATTCTGCTGATAATATCCCAATCTATTTCACCATCACTCTAAACAATAGAACCAAGATAACTAAAACGTGTACTATTATTAATGACTTGATCGCCCAAAGTCACAATCCCCTCACTAGGTCTATTGCTTACTAAAATTACACTCCATATATTCAGTTTTAGATCTACACAAGTGAAAACCTTTTGACTCTAAGGTTGACCTCCATAATTCAAGTTTACCTTCAACTCCCTCTCTAATCTTATCAACAAAAAAAATATCATCAGCAAAAAGCAAAAACCAAGGTACATCCTCTTGCAAATGTCTAGTGAGAACATTCATGACTAAAGCAAAAAGATATGGACTTAAGGCTGATCCTTGATGTAATCCAACCGAAATAGGAAAATACTTGGTCAAACCACCTTGTGTTTGAACACAAGTAATAGCTCCTGCATACATATCTTTAATGATTTGAATATAAGCGTTATTAACTCCTTTTTTTTCAAGAACTCTCCATAGCTCTTCTCTTGGAACTTTATCATATGCTTTCTCTAAATCAATAAATATTATATGTAGATCCTCCTTATTCTCTCTATATTTCTCATTCATACCTCTCAATAAATGTATGGCTTCCATAGTAGACCTACCGGACATGAATCCAAATTAATTTTGAGAAACATTAGTATCACGACACAACCTACGCTCCACAACTCGCTCCCATAGTTTTAAAGTATGATATTAGGATTAGATTTCAATTTCGATAAAATTAGTTTTGAATTTTAATTGTATTCGTATTCTATAAATTGATTATTACTTTCAAATCTATAATAAACAAATATTATTACTTTCAAATCTATAATAAACAAATCTGGTTCATAAAAATAAATTATATTTCATTTATTAGATTTATTTTGATTTAATTAACATAGATGTTTTTTTCTGTCTTGTAATTAGAATTAAAACTTTTCCATATAAATCCTTCCTTCCCTCCTTATCATCATTGTTGTTGCTTCACCAAGTAGTAGCCAAAAGCACCTTTCCCTTCCATCTTTCCCACATGATCAAGTCCCTCTCTGCTGCCTGCAAAATGCTTGATAGACTTCAACCTATTGGAAACCAATCCCCACTAATTTTCATGTATCATACATCAATTTTCATGAATTGTTCAATTCTTTGCTCTAAAATCATTGATGCTTCATTCATAGTAGAATTATATTTCAATGAAATTATCAGATTGCGTAGATTATTTAATTTCATAATTTCTTATCAAGCTGTACATTTTGTGTAGCCACTTCTGAAGAAATTTATATGAGATGCTTCACACTATTTTAAAATTTTCATCTACATTCAATCTAATGGATAAAAATAGGTGGTTAATCATATTTAGGCAATCTATCACGATAATTGATTGGTGATTATTTAGGCAGATAAGATCTAATGCTTCCTATCACTTAGTTTGCTTAAAGTAGTCATGAGCGCCACACTACCACGAAATCTAATTTTGAACTTGTTTATGATGTGCATCCTAGAAAGCAGGTAGATCCCATTACCATAGCAACATAATATTATTAAATTAGGGGTATATTTTATTCAGCATATGCATAAACTTCAAACTAATATTAAATTACAGTTTGAGAAGTAAAATGGAAAACATAAGGAAAGCTAATATTTATAGAAGACAGCAAGAATTTAATGAAGGTGATTTTTGTACTTGTTAGAATTAGATATGCACACTTTCAACCCTATACATTAAAATGCCTCGCTTATTTTGTTAATTTGTCTCAAAATTTTCATTTTTGTAGTGTTTAACATTGAAGATCTAGTAAGTTACCGAGACACCTTCAAGCATTTTTTATCTACCAGTTCTACTTTCACAAATACTTTCTGTTTTATTTGAGTTTAGATATGTCATTCTTGCACCGATTGGTAAAGTATACAAGATTATTACTGATAAAATCACCCCATATACCTCTAGAGTTCAAAAATATTTGATTTGCTAAAACAAACAACCGATCATTGAAAGCTTTTGTATCAAAGATGACAAGGTGATGAATATGGCAAAAGTTCGACAGGAAGAGCCGCCACAATATGACTCTTTGGAGGTAAGTTTATTTTGAAAAAAGGTATTGATACAGCAAAGCCCAAATCAAAGAATTATAGCTACACCCATATCTATATTGAACCAAAATTCATGAAAGTTAAGTTTCATTTAAAGCACAACAAAAGCGCAGTTAAAAAAAATGAAAGTAAGTTTCATTTCTTATAATAAGATTCATGTAAATTTAAATTATGATGAATTATCATTTTGGATAATCTTGGGTTTAAATTTAAATTAGTTTTTCAGAATAAATTTCAATTTGAATGAGATTAGCTCTGAATTTGAATTTTATCCCTATTTCTAGAAATAGGGTGTGATTGATGAACTTTCTCCATGTGAACTGAAATTAAAAAGCATCCTTCGAAACCTTGGTTCATTTGCAGCCCTAGCTGGGAAAATTTATTGATCCTTTAAATTGAGAATTGAAGGCGACTAAGGACAAACTCTGAGACTTCTCATGGCTATCATCCCTACTAGGGGAATCAGCAGGACCTCTTTCGGTACATTAGTATAAGTTAAACCCGAATTTGATAGAGTCACCCCTACCTTGGAGACCTTTTAGAAATCAACATGCATGTGTATGTCTCTACCTATCTATGAAGGCAAAAGTGGGCATATATGCATGCATTCATGCAAGAAATACACATGAATGTCTGTAGCATGTTTGAAAATAAAGTAAAGACGGGATAAGATGTCAACTCCAAGTTGATATGGAATTGATATGGCTCAATTCAAGCTCAAATCAATATCAACAAACTAGATCCTAGTCAAATTAAGATTATATTAAGTCATTCATAGGCCAATACTATATTAGATCTGATAAAAAAGGTTGTGACACAATCTTGAGTTGAGTTTAGCTTACCTAAAGATCTGATCGTTAGCGACCCTAAGGAGAGTGCATTAGTGTTGGGTAGAGGAGAGAGGGCGAGAGGGAGGGAGATGCCTGATGTGAAGTATGCCAGATTCAATAATGAGCTGTGATCATAATTGGTGATGGATTTAATAATTCATTTTAACATTGGATGATGGAGGAAATCATTCTAAAGTCCATATAGATAATAAAAGAGGAAATGGATAGAATGTTTTATGAAAAATGGAGTTAACAGGAGAAAAGCTGATGTAAGCAAAAGATATAGGGAGCCTATACCCTTCGCCCACAAAAGAGACACGACGAACTTCTAACGACGAAATTGAGAAGGAGGAGAAAAGAGACGAGAACAATAGGGAAGAACAAACTCTTACATTTCAATTTAAACTAATCAAGTAAAAAAAACTATGACGACTACTTACAAACAACACGACAGACACCCTAAAGTTGCTGCACTTTGAGAAGAAGGATACAGGTGGAGCGGCACTTGCGGAGAGACGAAAGAGATTAGAAGCCCGAGAAGAAAGGGTGGAAAGAGCCCGCAGGATTTCCGGAGGGGATGAGAAAAGAAGGTTGGAAAGAGCCCGCAGGATTTCCGAGCAACCCGCAGGTTAACAGATTTTTCAAAAATCAAATATCATTCACTTCTTAAAACATTACATAACCCCCCATATTTATAGGTATGAAAGGGGAATACAAAAGGACACAAACATTTAATTAACACATAATTCAAAGCATTAAAAAGCATAGAAATCTCCCCCCAAAGCTCTCGGTTTACACCCAAACCAGGAACCAAGGAGACAGCCACGGGAGACGAAGGGAACCGCACGGACCAAAGAGCCACAGCCGCGGGAACCGAAGGGCGGACACGGAACAAGGAGCCAGCCGTGAGATCCCAAGAGGTAAAGCACAAAATACTAAAAGGCCATGGTGGAATTCAAGGAGCCACCATGGGAAAAAGAAATCTTGGAATTCCAAAGGCCGGTTTGGAATTCCAAGAGACAAACATAAAAACAAACATAAAAATCATAAAAAGTACATTAAATATAAAGATAACTATGAGCTAAAATCCTAGCTAATAATGAGCTAACCCCTAGTTCAATAAATGAACTAAAGCCTAGCTCATAAATGAGCTACAATTCTAGCTCAATTGGATTGAGCTAGTAGACTCAAGGGAAGCCAAAATATGATTTATTTTGGACTTGTGTTGACCCCCCCTTTGTCTACATCAAAAGCATGAGGAATTTCATGGATTTTGTGTGCATGCTTGTTATGGTGGGGATGATAGGAGAGAAGTTAGTTGGATAATAAATTATAATCATCATGGAGATGTGACAAACATATCACATCAATTCAGTTTAGTTCCACGTGAACCAAAGAGTAGAGCTAACGAATGAGCTCACTCATTCATCAGCTCTAGCACTATCAGTAACAAACAATATTCCCATAAAAAAACCCCCAAGAAAAAGCACCCAGTTATTACTATATTCCTTTCTAACTTCATCTTGGAATCAACACTAAGAATAAAAACATGGATTAATGCAAAGTTCCATGAGAAAATTAGAAAATGGATTGTAAACAGCACCAATAGCTATCTTAGTTCAACAACAACTATAAACATCATAATTGGTCACGGAACAGTAAGAATTCACGTCAACATGTCCATAACATAGATTAGAGAAACCTCATTGCCACATAAAGATTAAACTTAAAACGAAGACATTTATCACAATTCCGGTTATCTTTCAGAATAAAAAATACTGAACATGCCGAAAATAAGAATATCATGCCGAAAATAAGAATATCAAACAATCAACATTTTTTATGATTAAATCAAATACAAGTGCAAAAGGAAAAAAAAAAGCACCAGAAACAGTAATTCAGCAGCATGTCAATGCCACAAGAGCATCAACAATAAATGGAAAAATATCTTAGAAGTGTAAACAACAAACAAAATAGGGCAGGAAATTAACAAAAGCAAGATTAAGAAAAATTTGAAAAAAAATAGAATATTTTGATGAGAGCTATGACCACGAGTTGCATGACTATCAACATCATACCTACTATTACCAAACTTAATAGTATCTTTCTCAAAAAGTTCATAATAACGTTGTGGTTCAATGCGATTTTCCTGCAAAATATGAAATCTAATCAGTGGTGGGAATTATGGACAAAATTTAGCACAAAATATGATAAAAGGATTTCTACTTTAAAAAGCAAACAAAAAAAAAAATGAGATTGGATATAGATTCCTACGTTAATAAATGTACCGTTAGTGCTTCCAAGATCCATGAGATAAGGCCTAACATAATAAAAAACAGGAAAAACATTAGATATTCAATAAGACGTCTGACAACATTACAAGCAACAAAAAGAGACTGATCAGCAGTTATAAAGACCTAAATAAAAATCTGATGCATTACCTTACTTGCTTTGACATTAACCCATCCGCTTGCTCTTTGTCTACGCTTCTGAAGAGAGAAAGCACGATTATTAATAAAGGTGTTAGATTATCAATTAATAAGGGTCAAAGTAATACACCTGTATTGAAGAACAGCATGCTGTTTGCTGCAAGAAGGATGGTCAGTAGGGATGTCTGCAACCCTCCTTTCTCTCCCAAAAAGGTAACAACTTTGACGGTGCACATATAAAGGCTCTATCACAATATAAACCTTTTAGAACCACAATTTCATTGTAACCTTCAACATTAAGAATCTAAAATTTAGATGCATCAAAGGCACTATGGTTATACAACTTTGATGTCAAAGGTACTACTTTCAATGATAGCCTCTATAGCTGTATAGCATGAGAAGTTCTATTATAGATTGAAATGCGATGCTAGGACCAGGACAGAGCATACACCAAAAATCACAATGTTGAAAAGCGCAACTGAATTCATGATGGTTTCCGCAAAATAAACCAACTAGGAGATGGAGAAGATTAATAAGAATGAAAAAAGGGAACAGTTGATTGGTGCCAGACGGTCAAAGGAATATTTCTTCGTTCTTCTTCTTTATTCTTTCTATCACTCTTTTGAAGCTGGATAATGCTTTTTATTCTTTAATATATGAATATATACTTTAATTTTTATAGAAAGAGTAGTACAAACACCATCCAAGTAACTTTCCAATTCCTTTATATTCATATACTTCAAATATTTCTACCTCCACATATCATATATAGTGTGATAAAAAAACTAAATTGCATTTTGATTTATGGTATATCACTTCACAAAACCTACTTCATACCATCACAATTTTTAGTAAAGGGAATCCTGTGGGTCTCAATGAGTTTCCAAAACCAAACAAAAGAAGTAGAAAGTGAAAAACCTTGAAGAGTTGCAAGCTCAACCGATAAGCATAAAAGTGCAAAGAAAAAAGAAAAAAATATTCACAGCAGTAACGCAGCATAAAATGAAGGTACATAAATAGAAAATTGCAATTAAACGAATCCTTAATTCTGTAATTTACTAATAACTTTTTCGGCTTTTTCAAATAAGCAAATATTAGACATTCACATTTCAGTTTCCCAAAGTACAGCAAGTAATGCTCTTAAAAGCATTCAAAAATATTACCATTAAGCACTTCACCGGCCTTGAAAACATATAATCGCCATCTTATATCTGGCTTGCAAGCATCTGGTGGTTCATTGAACAGTAGAGTTATCCCTGACAACAGACAACAGACAACAGTTTAAAATAGCAGCAGTAGTCAGTCTAACAACATAAATCATATATAAAGATTCAATACATTAACGATACATGAATTCTACTTGATAGTTATATTTAACTTAATGCAAACTTAACAGGTTGGACTGAAAAGATATTACTTACACTTACAAAAAAAAATTATTTACACTTACAAAATTAGCATTCAATTGCAAAAGCCACTTCAAAAATGGAGATCAAAATGGTAATCTAATATTTACAACAGTAACAACTAATGTAGATACTAATGAAAAGCTAAGATATGGGCCACGTGAAGTTAGCAACATTGTTAGGAAGCAATACAATAAATTAGCCAAAAAAATTACCTCGTACTCGATTAGTTTCCTCAGCAAGCTTCCCAGAAAGCTCGAAAGATGGTTTTTGCTGCACCAAAGAAAATGAATAGCTGAGAAAATGAACATGAAAAACAAGTTTATACTCTGTTTCAAAAGCAGTCATTTGTGTAAGTATCCAGTGGCAATTATAAGGAATTAAAGCACATGCTAGAGTAACTTTCCAATCATGCTTTCAAGCACTAGTACATTACCAAGCCAATCAAACTTTGCTTGGTAATGTTGTATTGAGGTTATGATGTGTTGTATGAAAAGTCCCTGCTCTCTAGGAGATGGGCAAAAGCTGCTTCGCAAGTGCATTGCCCAATGTTATGATGTCATCGAGAAGGTGCAAAAAAAGGTAGGACTTTTGCTACACATTTCCCTCATAAATCATAATTGTGACATGCAAGGTTCAAAAAAAGTAGAGCAAAAGAAAGCATTATGAAATGAAGCAGCAACATATCAATAAAGATGTTACAGCATATGGCTGCAAAACAGCATCCAATATGTACAAAGCATGAAAGAATAAGCATGGTGGCAATAGGCTACCAGCACCAGAATATGCAAATTAAAAAGCTAAAAAAGGAAGTACTCTCCATAGCCGGTAAAATCCAAGTCATGGTATGAGCTGACACTAACATAAGGAAATCTGTCATACAATACCTTATCCTTATCTTTTGCTTCCAACACATCCTCAGTAGCCTTCATCTTGGAAAGAGTGTCAAAATCATCATTTCTAAGAAATAAAATACAGTAAGTGCAGAGAAACTAATGCATTATTTGAGTGCATATGCAATGCAAAAGGAACCGAGCCTTGTTATGTACAGAAAATTGAGAAAGCTGAGAACAAATGAAAAGCCATTGCAGGCAATACTTGTTGAAGATTTCAGTTAAGGTAACCTCTAACAGAATGTTCTTCATGGGACAAGATATGGATCCCAAATCACAGCAGATGGACATTTTTGGCGCGGATAAAGACAATTCCTATCCTAACTTCCTAATTTAGAGGGTAAATGTGGTTCAGCAAATTCAATCTAATATGAAAGCTTGTCAAAGCTTAGTGGGAGACCAGTCAAACATGGGGTACGAAGAGCATTAATAAATCATGAAATAAATAGCCAAGAATGCCCATGCAAGAAACATATCAATATACATACACATGGCTCCCAAAAGTAAATACCAAAAGTTTTCCTTAAAAAAAAAACTTTTTTCCTTTGGGTGGTCAAATTGTTCATACGAAACATTCTAAAACAAAAAATAGAAAACCGTTAAAATATTAAACGTTAGAAAAAATCACAAGGCCGCTAAGATCACGTCAAAAACAGAATTTCATAACACAAAATGGTGGTTAAAATCTTAACAGATAATCAACTTCTCCAATGAATAATCTTAAATTTTTTTATGGTGAAAATTCACAGAAATTTTCCAAATAACAGCTTAGCATAAAGGTTAGCTAGCTATATAAAAATGGCAAATTTAAACCAGTCAATTGTAAGCCATGAAGGTATTAGGGTCACTCAATTCAGTCTATGGTATTTCTACATCACTTTAAGCACCAAAATAGGAACTGGGTTCAAATAAAGTACAGTGAACAAAGAAATCATCTTCCTATGATTTTGTTGAACTAGAGATGGCATATGATTAAGTACTATAGGAACTGATTTGTTGAGCCTTAAGGCAAAAAAAATGTGTTAAAATTATGTTAACATACTTAAATAATTGTATAATGCAGCAATAATCATCATTAAATTAGTTATGGAGTAATCCAAGAGTTTTCAATTACAAGAGGTTTACATCAATTATTAGCTATGTTGCACGGATACTCCTATTTACGAGGCGTGCTGTATTGGACACGTGTCGGATACGGATACGCCTCCGATACGGCATGGATACGTGTCGGATACGGCACGGATACGTGTCGGATACGGCTATGCCGTGTCCGATTAAAATATTATTTAAATTTGACTGGACACGCATATCGGATACGCGTGTCCTATTAAAAAAAAAAAACACGGAGCCACGATTTACCCTATTCTTTTCGACTTTCCACCGTTTTCGAGGTTGAGAATTGATCCGAAAATATGGTGGATTATACATGGAGCTTCAGCACCTCTACTTCAAACAATCACCATAAAATTGCTTGGTCAAATTTCATCCTCATCCTGTTGTGAAAGAAATTGGAGCACATACGCATTCATCCAATCAATGAAGAGAAATAAAATTACTCCACAACGGGCTGAAGATTTAGTTTACGTGCATACAAACCTTCGACTTCTCTCAAGGAAAACTCCAACTTATTTGGAAGGAGACAACAGGATGTGGGATGTTGCGGGAGATGTTATTTGAATCTCTTGAGGATATGGGAATATTAGAAATTGCTAATCTTTCACTTGATGAGCCTGAATTAGAAGCTATGATATTTATTGAAGATGATATAGAAACTCAAAGACAAACCACTGAAGAAGCTAATCCTATCATTCCTTCTATTGAATAGTTGAAATTTCATATGCTGGGCAATTTATCTTCTTGTTTTTGTTGTTGTACTAGACATTTTAATATTTAATGCTTACTTTTATTTCAATTTTTTTTGTCATTTCAAATATTACACTTTGATTACTTTATGAATTTTTATGTATTATTTATATATTATAATGCTGTATCCGCGCCGTATCCGTCTCCTGTATTTTTAAGAATTGGCGTGTCCCGTATCCATATCGTGTCGTATCCGTATCGCCGTATCCGTATCGGTGCAACATAGATTATTAGCATGAGTCCATATCTTCTTTTTATTAGTTAAGGAGATGCTTCCAAAGGATATTCAAATTGAGTTGCATTGGCATGCTTTTTGCAAATGATATAATTCCAATTAGTGAGAAATCCATTAAAAAAATAACAATTTGAACAATTGAGAAAATGTTTAGAAGACCAGAGTTTTATAATTAATAGAAAAAACTTTATATATGATATGTAATATAAGTAGGTATTATCTTAAAAATATGATTCAATAATATAAGACAAGATAATAACTATAGGTGATAGGTTTAAATAACTTCAATCTATTGTACAAAAGAATGGACGTCTAGATGACGATATAATTTAAGAGTTAAGGCTAAATAATTAAAATGAAGAAGGGTCTTGAAAGTTTTGTATGATAAGAAGATATCATTGAGATTTAAAAGTACATTTTATAAAATTGTAATTAGGCTGACAATGATGTATGGATATGAATATTGGGCCATGAAAAAAGCTATAAATATCTAAATAAAGTGTGGAAAAAATGACAATGTTAAGATGTATATGTTGTAAAGGGAAAAACAAATAAATGAATAATTATATTAGAGAAAAATTTGGAATGACAACGAAGAATGCTTATTGAAAAAAAAAAACTATAGTGGATATTTACAATGAAGGATAGAAGATGTACCTATTATACGAGTTAATAAAATAAATGCTAAAGGACAAAAAAGAAAAATTGGAAGACCCATTGTTACAAGAATAGAAGTTATTCACAATAATTTGTGAAGAATAAATATACCACCTCAAATAACACTCAACAAGAACGAATGAAAAATGAGGATTCAAAATGCTTATACTAAATAGTTGTGATAAGGTTAATGATGATGGTGAACTACATGTATACGTAATGCTAAATATCGTTTTCTCTCATGCAACAATCCATTTGATATTAAATTTTTACTAGCTAAACAAATATAGCAATTGAGGATAAATACACTTGTTCTTCAAAACTAATCTAAAAATCAAAAGACAAATTTCTTGATTAGTACAATTTAGTAGTGGACTATGATTACAAATGTTAAATGAATACATGTAAAGAGAATATTTGACTAAAAAATCAAGAAACTTAATAATTTTTTTGCATAAAAATTGTCTCAACACAAGTAACACAACAAAAATGAATGGATGTAGGGGTGTCAAAACGGGTCGATGGGTTGGGTTCAGCTCCAATCTGAGTTGACCCAGGTACAAACGGGATGACTCTAACCCGACCCGATTTTGCAAACGGGTCAAGATTGTCATCCTGGACCCGACCCCTGCAGGTTACCGGTTTGACCCGACCCGACCCGTGGGGGTTAGAAATCATGCACATTTGCTCGCGCGCGCTACAAGAGCCAGTTGCGGCACAGTGGGTCTGCCCGACTCACCTTCTGGGAGGACTTAGGAACCTTAGGAGCACATATCCCATTCGCCGGTAGTGCTGGTCTGGCTGATTGGCCGTCTGGGTCTCTTGACTCCTGAGACGCGACATGGCGACAGCGGCCACTGGCAACTGGCCAGCAGTAGTGCGGATGGGACAACATCGACAACTCGACCAAGCATCAGCTTCACCGACCAAGCAGGCGACAACACATTTTTAGACTCGACCAGACTCCAGCTATAGTGCGAGCAGGACAGTAGCCGCGGCACACGACGATGTATTTCTGGACTCGACGAGACGATTTGGTGTTTCTGGACTTGACGAGACATTAGATGCGGTCACCGAGTCACGCGACGACGTCGACGAGACGATGTCACGAGCGATGTTCCCGGGTCAACACGGGTTGGTTTCGGGTTTTCGGGTCAACCCAAACCCAACTTGGTTTTACAAACGGGTTGGAATCACGAACTCGAACCCGACCTGCATGGAAAACAGGTTGACTTAGGGTCGGGTCGGATTTTGACACCCCTAAATGGATGGGGATCTATAGAGCTTGTCACAAACAATTGGGATGCAACTACCAATGAAGATAATATTACATGAAAAAACTTTTAAAAAAAGTTAAACATTCTAGTAATTGAATCTTAGATTACATGAAGGTTGTATGCAGTTTTAAAATATGCTAAATAATAATTCATGCAACCCTGTGTAATTCACACGTGAGTGTTTAAAGCTTCTCAAATATCAATATTGCGTAAGATAACCTTGAATTACAAGTCAAGATAGATGATGTGAAACCAGGAATTGTTTCTTAGAAGTTAATAGAAGTTTGTTAAAATAATGGTAATACAATTCAATGCTTCTCTAATTTAACGATTCAAAGAAGATCTTAGAAATTAACAACGTCTAGGAAAGTAGCTCCAACTAAGTTTGCAAGATTTATAAAATAACAACATCAATAACAAGTAATGAAGATGAATGGCCAACTAGAATCCGGCGGTTAACAAAGCGATCGTCTCACCTTGAGGCCACGCTCATGCTCCTACTTCTAGGTTCGTTGGGAGAAGAATAACCACACAAGTGACGAGACCACTCCGAGGGTGACGGTGCCGTAGATCAATAGGGAAAGAGAGGAAGGCGCCGGATGTGGAGGTGGTGCGGGAGAGCAGCCTTTAATGATCCACGTGTAGACGGAAAAGTGGTCGTCGATGGAGTCCACTAGTGTAGGTAGGATCCGATCCAAGTATTCTTCGACGGTGTCGTCAAAGTCAAAGCCGACGTCGAAGAACGGTGATCTAAGGATGTTAACCCTTCCGTGGTTGTCGTACTCAAACCCGTAGTTCCACTCGGGTTCCTCCATGCATCCTTGAAGAGGAGAAAGGATGGTCGCCACGGGATAATCTCCAATGGGGGAAGAGATGGGCGGCGGGTTGGAGAGGAGAGAGGGGGGCCGGCGGTGGAGATGGGGAGGGAGAGAGATGTGTTTTATGCAATAAAACTGAAGTAATTTCAGTTTTGGGGGGAATTAGGAGAGGAGGGATTAGTGGTTTGAATTCCCAATTAAGTGCATTGAATGTATT